CTTGGAAACTTTCAAATAGGTCTTTCAGTACCTGACTCAAATCAAATTAAAACCCCGGAACTGCTAACAGAACAATGACCAGAATTAAATCTGAAATGATTATATGCAAAATAAAGCACAGAAACAGGCCACTTGGTCTAATAAGTCTGGTTTTAGAAAACCTCAGTATCCACCTACTGCCCCTTAACCTTTCAGCACAGCTGCTTATTCTTTTGCACCATTTTCTTTTAATTCCTCCATGGGAACCAACTATCACATGCAGGGTCAGCTTTTGCAGCCTACCTTGATTGCTGTCAAGGAACTGATAGTGACCTGACTTTGTGGACTGCTGCAACTCAAATGATGTAGGTACATCTACTGCATTGTTTGGAGGAAAAAGAAGTACCAGGTTTTTGACCCAGAAAATGAACGCATGGCAATATAGTTCCAAATCTGAATGGTGCCACTCTAAGGAAACTTGTAAGGGCTGTTGCCCTTGTCCTCCAAGGTGATAGAGGTCTCAGGTTTAGAAAGTGTTGTTGAAGGAAGCTGGTAAATTGCTAAGATGCTTTCACATATAGGGTGTACACAGCTACTAAAATGCACTGGAGGACTTAGATTGGATGCTTTCAAAAATAAACTATTTCCTCAAGTCTTTGAGAGAAAACATTTAAAACTTTCATATTCCATGCCCCAAAATATATTACAACATTCCATTTGCCTTCCTAATCACTCGCGCCTGCATAACACCTTACCAGATTCATGCACGGTGGGGAGGCGGCATGAAATGCTGGAAAGTTTGAAACTAAATCATATATTCCAGTGTGCAAAGTTGGCTCACAAAGTTTAATTTTTGCATACAACGCATGTACAAGTCTATCTTAGTTTCTTCTGGCATGGAAGTCTAAAAGAAAATGCTTTTCCCTTCAACCTGGCAGCTACAACAAACCTACACCCAAAGAACTGGTGTGTATCACTGTTTCCCGTTATCAAACTTACATCTGAGTGGGCGAGGGGTGGGGTGGGTCTATGCTACGATTGCTTAATCTTTCTTGCGCCGATGGTTTCTGAAAACATTCTGTAGTGTGGAAGTTGAGTTCCATATGACAGACAGAGGAAGCTGGATCATTTGCCTTCCAAAGCGAAATGAGATGTGTGGTACAAAGAAAGCAGCTAATCCACCATCCTGCTTTCAATTGGAAAACAGATCACATTGAACTCAACATTTGATCAAAGGTAATCAGATAAAAATGGTATCATGCCAGAATAAATGTTAAGACACAGATCCTCTTCCAGGAATGCATAAATGATTTTAATATTTAATTGCTGGATGACTAGCACCCACAAGTAGGGATCCAAACCTTGTTACTGCTGATACTTGAAAGTAAGCCTACTGTTTTGTATTTTTCAGGTGACAGAACTAGTCTATTTTTGGATTTCATTATTTTACTTGGTCTTCGTTTCATGTTATGCAAGCTCAAATCAGTCCTTCTAAAATCTTCACTTGTACTTCTTTTGATTCATTCAAAGGGTATTGATGTTGTTCGTTCAGTCAGCATGTAATCCCTTATTCCTAACCACCCTCGAAGAGGTGGTGAGCTGCTTTTTTGAAATGTTGCAGTCTATTTTGTGTAGGTACACCCACAATGCTCTTAAGGAGGGAGTTCCAGGGTTTTGAGCCAAATTTGTATTTAGTAACTTGATAGTAGATGACATGATACAGTATTTTTCAAATTACTTTGAATTTAATCATTCCTGAAATGTTTGATCCCATGTCATGAACTAATTACCACATTAAGTTCCCTATTTAATGATCAGGTGAAGGCAGGTAGCTATGGACACTAACAGGTGGTAATTTAAAAACCCGAATCGCCTAGAAGGAAACTGGTCAATTACAACAACCTGCGTTTCACATTTTTCAATTTGGCTGAGTCATCCAGAAAAGAATTGGAGCAAATGTCAAGAAAGTGACGTTTATTATGTACCTCATGATCATCTTGCAAAACCTTATGTTCTAAAGGTTGAGACAAGTGATGAAGAACAAGACATCAACAGCATACACATGGAACTCTAATTTCTGTGAAAAAGATCGCATTTGAGGGGCACATGAGAGAGAGATACCCAAGAAGAAGCGAAGAGATGCCAAAATCCCTGAAGGAAGAAATAAAAGACAAGATAAAGTGATAATTGAGAAGATAAAATAGGTTGAAGATCAGCTTTTTTGTCAGATGGTGGCAGTAAAATGGAAAGGAGATAGCAATAGACTGAAGTAAGAAAGACTACACTTGAGGAAAATTAAGCATAAGTAACCCCAATTGAAATGGAATCAGATGCCTGGATCAGACATTAGAAGTCCAATGCAAGGGTGGGGGAAATTAAAGGGGAGATGATGATAGAAATTTACAACAAACAATAAGGCTTTTCGGACTTCCACTTCCAAAAACAGCAACCCAGCTAATCACACATCCAAGTCATTCAAATCCTGCTATCACTTAAAATCTATGACCCTTTGAAATTGACCTATCGACTTGGAGAACTCAAGTCTTTCCATCTATTCAATCTAGGGCCCTCATCATCTTGTACAACTTAATTAAATCACCCGTTGGCTTCCTCCATTCAAAGGAAAATATCTCTAGCTGATCCCATCTTTCCTTATAATTAAAATTCTCCAGTTCAAGCAACTCTTTCAAGCAGACAATCATGTTTCTCCTGTAAACCAGAACAATATTCAACACCGTGTTGCCAAACTAGAGTTAAAACCAATTCTCACATAACCACCTTACACTTCTAATCCATGCCTCAGCCAATAAATACTAGTATCCCATATATTGTAATCACCTAATTTCCTTCGCCTTCAGAGATCGGCACTTCGAGGACACTTGTTCCTCTACGCTTTTTAAGTATCTTAACATTTATTTTGTATTCTTATTTGCCCTCCTCAAATTCATTACCTCAAACTTCTAAATTTAAATTCCATTTGCCACCTCTCTGCCCACTTGGGCATTTCATTGCTATTCTCCTGAAATCCAAAGCTCCCTTATCAGCCACTTCCATTTTTTCGTCATCTGCAAACTCAAATCATACCCCTACAATGTGCATCATTGATGTAAACACGAAAATTAAGGTACCTAGTATAGACAGTCCTGTGGAAACCTACTAGAAACCGCTTTCTACAAAACACCCAACCTTTGTTTCTTGTCACTGAGCCAACATTGCTTCTAAGCTTGCCACTTTTCTCTGAATCCAACAAAATTTTAACTTTTGCATCAGTCTGCTGTGTGGGACTTGGTCAAGGACTTATCAATCAATTTCCCCATCACCAATGAGAGACTAACTGCCCTGTTCATTTCTTGGTTTTTAAACTATTAAACATTAACAACTCACTGGTACAATGCCTGCAGTGAGAGGAACAGAAAATTATGGTCAGAGCTTTTACGTCATGTCCTCTACAGTCTTCTCTTAGCTTCTTAGATAGATAAAATGAAAAGTGGATCAATTCTATTTTCAAAGATGTTTGATCACTGAAGATTAGAATCCTCCCCCACCCCCTCTCATTAATTAGTTTACTCAGATCCCCTCTTTCGTGTAGCATAAGCAGAAGGAGCAAGACAGAGGAGACACAGGCAGACTGAACTCAGGTGGCTAAAGAATCAGCCTGTGATGATGTAAAAGGAAGCTAGAGTCAAAAAGTAAAGCCAGAAGAAATTAGACTTCTGTGTAGAAAGAGGTGTCAAGCTGGAAGAGGGGCAGCAGGAAGATTGAAATTTCAGCACTAGGGTGGGGACAGGGAACATGTTAATACCATAAAATGTCAGTTTATCTTAACCTGGCCAACGAAAACACTCAAGAACAGATGTGTTTGCATGAGAAGCATAAATTTACAATAACAAGGGGACGTGAGTGATGTTGGAGAATTGGAGACAGGCAATGTTTCCGATTAGTTTAAAATTTTCAGAAGGTGGAGAGTGGCAACCTTGCCAGGGAACATTAACATCAAGTTGTAAGTAATTAAGAAATTGACAAGGGGTGGCATGGTGGCTCAGTGGTTAGCACTGCTGCCTCACAGAGCCAGGAACCCAGGTTTGATTCCACCCTCAGGCAACTGTCTGTGCGGAGCTTACACAATCTCCCCAAGTCTGCGGAGGTTTCCTCCGGGTGCTCCAGTTTCCTCCCACAGTCCAAAGATGTGCAGGCTAGGTGGATTGGCCATACTAAATTGCCCATAGTGTTCAGGGATGTGTAGATTAGGTGGTTTATAGGGGGATGGGTCTAGGTGGAATGCTCTGAGGGTTGGTGTGGACTCGTTGGGCCGATTGGCCTGTTTCCACACTGTAGGGATTCTATGAAGACACAGAAGTAAGTCCTGTGCAATAGCAACGTAAAGCAGACATCTCCAAGAATACTCAAGTTCAGTCTCAAAATACAGGAGGTTTATCAATATCCAAAACAATACATTGTACATAAATAACATTTTTAGAGATATATACATATTGTACACACACACACACGCACTGCAGAGAGATTTTAAAGGAGTATATTTCCTTCCCACATTTGGTGCCATTGTCACTCCTAGCACATTTCTAAAACCAAAATAACCCACATAATTCACTCAGATTTTTTCTCATCCTAAGATGGCATGTAAGAGCAACTCTGTTGGCTTTTCCCTTTGTTTGTAGTGAAATAGACAATTTAGTTCAGCATCATCACTCAAAAACAATACTCAAGATTAGATACTCACCACATCAAGCACTTTATTTCAGAATGCATCTTTTTCAATTGTTTCTTTGCAAGTTACAACAGCAGAGTGAAGTGCCATAAGCAACAGAAACCAATTGATCCCCAGTGATTCTCATTCCAGCTTATTAGTGTTGCTAAAAATGATACCAGCGCAATCTGACAATTACTGCTAGCCTCATACTTTACCACTTTATACCAGAATATTTTATGTCTAGAAAAATGAATTAAAACATAGCATTACTGTTAGAATTAACCAAAATACCACAAACCTAGCTTGTACTTACACTGGTTACTCTACGATAGATCTGAGCAGCATTCTGGCATTCCGAGTATGGGTATTCTGAGGTTGCCATCTCTAGCATACACATCCCAAAAGCGTAAACATCAACAGACTCGTCATATTTTTCTTCGTACATCTCTGGAGCCATGAACTCAGGGGTACCTTAAATTAAAAGAACGTTTCAGACTCTAACAGACTGTCTCAGTGAGTAGAGGCTGTCGGTACTCACCGATGGCTGACGATAACCTGTGGGGGAAGACAAAGCGGAGGCGAAGGAGAGCCCTTCTCAGTTACTCAGCAACCTATCAACTCAAGCTTTCTTCTGCAAGGCATCTTGTATGGTGTACAGCACAGAGTTGATCTAATTAACTTTCTACAACTGAGCAAACATTCCTGCAATTATCCAAATTCTCTTGACCCAGAAAAAACCCTCAAGTTTTAAGTGCACCTCATACTGGAAGCAGACACTTAACTGTTAAATGCAATCTTTTTTTAAATTCTATCATATGTGAGTTGTACTTTGTATGCAACAGTACACCAATATTTCAAAACTCATGACTGTTTCAGCACCTCAGATATCCAAATTATTTCCATGGTAAATTGCAACAAACTCTATATGGTTAAATATTAAAACAGCACAGATTTTACAGTTTTGTTTTCAGGTTGGACTTAACAGACCAGAATAAAACTTAGTTGATGAGGCTCCTAAGAGGAAAAAAGGAAATTAAATAGGACAATAGTTAGTTTCTGACTTCTTTTTTTAAGAAAGCAACTCTGTAACAGTAACCAAGTTGCCTTGCAAATGAAAACTGGCACATAGTCAAGCGACTTAAAACATTTAATAATTTTGATCTTCAAATCATCAGAAAGGCAACTCACCACAGCCTTTATCTCTAGCACTTACCGTTCAACTGCAGTACTGTTAGATCTACTGCAGCTGGGAAAAAGTAGATGTCCTACAGTCGAAAATACTTAGAATACAGAAAATTGAGTAAAGAGGGCTCAACATGATAACCAGACCAATAAATGAGACCCTGTTTATAGTCTGATATTCTGCAATAAGTTTTTATAACAAAGATCAGAGAGCAGATGAATGTTATTATGCAGCGAAGTAGGCCACAGTTTTGCTAAATCCAATATTTCAAAGTCATAGATATAACACAAAAATGTTAAGTTCATTTCACAAAGCAATAACACACAAAGTAAACTTCACTCAATAACTTCCAACTTACCTATCACACTTTTTGCGAATGATGCCCTTTTTAGTGTAGCTAGGCCAAGATCCCCAACTTTAACTGATCCAGTAGGGCCTGTAATGAAGATGTTGTCACATTTCAAATCTCGATGTATGATGGGTGGTGTACGAGTATGAAGAAAATGAAGACCCTTCAAAATTTGACGACACCAACTTCGAAGCACTTTGATTTTCATTATCTTAAATCTCTTCAAATAACTGAAACAAAGATTGAAAAGACAATGGTTATTACAAAAAAAAGCTACTTAACATGAACCATCTTGGTGCCCTGGTTCTGGTACTTCTGCCGTGTAAAGTTCCAGATAGAATTTTTTTTTTTTTTTTTTTTTTTTTTTTTTTTTTTTTTTTAAAAAGAAGCTCTCCAAACCAGATGCTCCAAAATCAATTCTTTGTTGGTGTATTTGTTATATGCTCAAGATGCTACATGAGCACCTCCACATGTGGACCAACACTTGATTACACCATAATTTTTAAAGGCATATACAAAACTAGTTTCCAAACATTCTCCCAATATTTACAATGCTTTTAGAAAGGTTAGGACAATCAGAGTGGGGGCCAGAGTGAGTTGAAATTCACATTCTTACTTCTGGAGTGACATACAACCCAGCAATCTGTCAGATTTAAGTGTCAAAATAAATGTCGATAGTTCAAAATTTCTACAGATATGGACACACAAAACTTATTTGTCACCATCAGCAATTGCATGAAGTAGCCTTAAGCACAGTTACTGAGTATAACTCCTATTGTTCTGATAAATATGACTATCATATTGAAAGAATTGCCATTCAATGGTGTCGCCATCACTGAATACCCCACTATCAACATCCTGGGAGTTAACATTGATCATAAACTCAACTGGGTTCCACATACAGTCAGAGTAATACAGCATGGAAACACACCCTTCAGCCCAAACTGGTCCATGCTGACCACGGTGCCGTCTCAGCGAGTTCCAATTACCCACATTTGGTCCATATCCATCCAAACCCTTCTCATCCATGTATCTATCCAATTAAATGTTGCTATTGTACCTATCTCAACACTTTCTCCAGCAGCCCATTCCATATACACACCACTATCTTCGTGAAGAAATTGCCCTCAGGTCCTCCTTAAATCAATCATCTCCCACCCTAAATCTATGCCCTCTAGTTTTTAATTTCTACATCCCAGGGGAAGAGACCATATGCATTCATCCTATCTCCGCCCCTCATCATTTTATACACCTCAATAAACACAGTGGATACAACAGTAAGTCAGAGGCTAGGAATAATGCAGCAAGTAAGTCACCTCCTGACTCCCAAAAGCCCGTCCATCAATCGACAAGGCACAAGTGAGGGCTGTGATGGAATACTCCCTTCTTTCCTGGATGAGAGCAGCCCCAACAACACGCAAGAAGCTTGACAGCATCCAGGACAAAGCAGCCCGCTTGATTGGCATTACATCCACAAGCATCCACTCCCTCCGCCATCAACGCTCAGTAGCAGCGGTGTACACTATCTACAAGATGCACTGCAGAAATTCAAACATCCTCAGACAGCACCTTCCAAACCCATGACAATTTCCATCTAGAAGGACAAGGGCAGCACATAGATGGGAAAACCACCACCTTCAAGTTCCCCTCCAAGCCACTCACCATCCTGACTTGAAAATACATTGCTGTTCCTTCGCTGTCGCTGGGTCAAAAACCTGGAATTCCCTCCCTAATAGCATTGTGGGTCAACCCACAGCAGGAGGACTGCAGTGGTTCAAGAAGGCAGCTCACCACCATCTTCAAGGGCAACTAGTGAGGGGCAATAAATGCTGGCCTAGCCCTGGGTGCCCACATCTCTCAAAACGAATTCATTAAAAAAATTTTTAAAAGTGTACTTTAAACTGGAAATATTTTTGAATTAAGCACATAGAATAACTTTCACATTTCTTTCAATCTTAAGTCTTCAACATTCTCTGCCCCACTTGCCCAAGTAAAATAGCATTCATTAAATTAATATAAAAAATTGCTGTCAACTTCTCAGATGAACCCAAAATCAGAAGTTAAAGAGAAAAGCAACTGTGCTATCCTGCTTAACTATATGCACACAAATTTTGTTTTGTAAAAAAATGTTGAAAACACAAGATGCAAGTGCATATAAATCAATTAATAGACACTCAGAGCAAGAACTGCAGATGCTGGAGTCAGAGTCGACACAGTGTGGAGCTGGAGGAACATAGCAGGTCAAGCAGCATCAGAGGAGTAGGAGAGTTGACATTCTGGGCCTAGACCCTTCATTAGGGCTGGGGAGGGGGAAAGAGAGCTGGGAAATAAATAGGAGGAGGAGGATGGGGCTGGGGGAAGGTAGGTGGATTCAGGTAGGGGTAGTGGGGATTGGTCAGCAGGAAGGGTGGGGCAGATAGGTGGAAATGAGGATGGACAGGTAGTGTCAGGTCAAGGAGGCAGGCATGAGAGGGAGGGTTGGACATGGAATGAGGCTGGGGGTGGGAAGGTTTTGAAACTGGTGAATTCTACATTTAGGCCATCAGGCTGTAGCCTGCCAAGGTGGAATATGAGGTGTTGCTTCCCCACTTGCATGTGGCGGCATGATGGCACTAGAGGCCGCCCAGGATGGACATGTCACCAAGGGAGTGGAAGGGGGAGTTAAAATGGTTAGGCCAGAAGGTGTTGTTGATTATAGCACACGGAGCGTAGGTGCTCCTCAAATCTGTCACCCAGTTTATGTTTGGTCTCACTGATGTAGGGGAGGCCATATCAGGAGTAACAGATACAGTAGACCAGGTTGGAGGATGTACAGTTGTGTATGGCAAGTTTGTCTCAGTCCTCAGATGGAGTTGAGAGGGGAAGGGTGGGGGCATGTGTAGCACCTCCTGCAATTGCAGGGAAAGGTGCTGGGTGTGGTGGGGTTGGTAGGGAGAGTGGAGAAGATGAGGGAGTCGCGAAGCGAGCAGTCCTTACGAAAGGCAGATAGGAGTGGGGAGGGAAATATCTCTTTGGTGGTGGGGCCAGATTGTAGGCGACAGAAGTGGCAGATGATGATGCGCTGGGCACAGAGGTTGGTGGGGTGGTAAGTAAGGACTGGGGGTCTCTGTCTTTATTTTTGTTTGGGGGGAGCGGGTTGAGGGCAGAAATACAGGAAATGCAAGAGATGCAGTTGAGGGCATTTTCATCTTGGGTCTCCTCCAGTGCCACAATGGCGCCACATGCAAACTGGAGGAACACCACCTCATGTTCCACCTCGGGGGCCTACAGTCCAACGGCCTAAAACATAGAATTCACCAGTTTCAAAATCTCCCCACTCCTGGCCTCATCCCATGTCCAACCCTCCCCTTCATCCCCACCTCCTTGACCTGACAATACCTGTCCATCTCCTTCTCCACCTATCCACCCCACCCCTCCCACTGACCAATCCCCACTACCCCTACTTGCATCCACTTATCGCCATCCCACCTACCTTCCCCCAGCCCCACCCTCCTTCCCCCTCCCCAGTCCTGATACAGAGTCCAGGCCCAAAACGTCGACTCTTTTACTCCTGATGCTGCCTGACCTGCTATGTTCCTCCAGCTCCACATTGTCAATTCAATTAACAGACAACATGGCTAATAAGCAGTATTCATGTTTTTAATGAAGTCATTGACGTTTGTGCATCAATGGATGTGGGCACCTTTAAGGGATTTTTAAAGCTTTCACAGCATTGGTCTATAACCTCCACCTACATTCAATAAGCCACAAGCAAAATCCAAATTAGAGTTTATATTTTATTTTGAAACTTACCTGTAAAGTCTTATTCACCTACAGCAGGAATCACTAATTTGGGTTTAAAAATTGACCTTCATTTGATGCATTTCACTCTAGAAAAACAATCACAGCTATGTGCAATGGATTTGCAGTTATGCAACTCAAAGCCTTGATACTGCTATTGTACATTTATCACTAAAGTGTGGCAAGAAGCAACAGATCAGCATGCAAATGCACCAGAATATGAAAAGATGGTTTCAAAAGAGAATTAAAGGCTTTTTATTGAATACAGGCAACATACATAGCAAGACAGATGAATTAATAGGACAAATTCAAATAAATGACCAATTAAATTTACAGTACCAATCATTACAGATATAGGCTGTAAAGTGACCACAGCTGAGATCTAAGCATTCAAGCATGACATTTTGGAAGGTTAGGAGAAGAGGAAAAGGGAGGTGGAGTACCTCTGGTGATAAAAAATATGATCAGCACAATACTGACAAAGTATCTTGGCTATTAACATCAAAATGTCAAATTGGTCTGGGTGAAGATTTAAAAAAACAAAGTTATTAGTAGCAAGGTTTATGAGCTCCCAACAGCAGCTACACCTATGAACGGTGTAAGTAAGAAGAAATAATGCAAACTTGTAAGAAACATACTGCAATGAAAGTGTGCTGTTTTAATGCTAATATAAATTTTGATCATGCTGTCACTTTAAGACGTTAATTTGTCCTGGTTTTTTTGGAGAGAGATTGTAAGGCAAAGGTTCAGAACTGTCTTTAAGAAAGTAAGCAACCTGACTCCTTGGGTTTTTAAGTTGGAATAATGGAAGCAGCCTGGGTACGGCCAACTCTCACAGACCAGGGTTTGTAGATTTTTTTAAATTTTTAGGTTTAGTTTTAAGCGGAAGCCTTTGAGGTCTCAAAAGTTGGAAGTTTCTCAGTTCATGTCTCCCAGCTGCTACTTTGTCTGTATTTTGATTCTTTTCCCCCCTCCTAGATTGGAGAAACACACGTGAGAATCTGTGTCTGAATTTGCTTTTTTGCCAAGAGGTGTATTTATGGGATGTTAATATATTGGAACAGCTAACTAGTAATAGGTACTGTAACTATTATTCGGTTAAGTTTACCAATAGTTAAGTTATTCTAAATTCCTCCCTCTCTTGTTTGTCTTTTAACTATGGCATTTTAATAAATTGTGTTTTGCTTAATGTCAAATAGTTTGACCAGTTGCACTACATCTGGAACACAGCACTTCACATCTAGGAGCAAATTCGTACAGATGCTGGAAGGTGTACTGAAAACAACAAATACTGGATTTCACAGTGGGTCAGACAGCATCCATGGAGAGAGAGCAAGCTAACATGTCAAGTATAAATGACTTTCATCACAGCTGAAGTGTGGAGATAGCAGCATTTATGCTGTGTGTGTGGGCGAGAGGGGCGAGAGAAAAAAGGTTAAGTGCTGGTAGA